TGGTAGCACACGAAGCATAAACGCTAAAACACGTTTGTACTTTACAATTGAGCTGAATTTATCCCAATTTTTAAACAGACGGATCGACGGCGCTTTCTCAGATGAAGCATCAACAACAAACGTAGATGCAGTCTCAAGGCATGTATCAATGTCACAGAGTGGGCCTTTTAATTGGATCTTTTTGATGACATCAGTGTTCGGCTTGAATGGCCAATCACATGTCCTCAATATACTAGGGCCTCTAACCCAGCTGCTATCCTTGAGGGCTTCCGAAGAAATCCCTCGTGTGCCGGTATCAGCTGGGTTATCACCACTGAGTACATGATTCCATTGATCAATGGTGGTGGACTCCAAGATTTCACCAGTGCGGTTTCCAACAAACACAGGAAGTTTGTTGCACGAGTTAAGCCACTGGAGAACGGTGGTAGAATCAGTCCACATGAATACATTGCTTACTTTGAAAGTAAGCGCTTTCAAAATCTCTTCTTTGAGCCGAGTCGCAAGCAGAGCAGCCTGAAGCTCTAACTTGGGAATGGAGAGCATCTTCATAGGCGCTACACGGGCTTTCCCAAATACAAAAGCTAACTCGGTCTTTTGCGATTTAGCAAGTCGGGCTCGGAGAAACGATACGGCGCAAAAAACGTCCTGCGAACTATCACCGAACGTGTGAAGTTCACAGCGGTCGAACGGTTCGGTAAAGTAGCTACGAGGTATCGTCAGAGTACCTAATAGTGGAAGTCCTGAGTGCCAATCTAGAAATTGTTGTTTAATTTCCTCTGGGAGATCATCATCCCACTTTTGACCACTGATTCTCCATATGTCTTTTAGTAAAAGGCGCGCTTTCACAGTATATGGAGCTACCAGTCCTATTGGATCAAAAACTGAGGAAACAAAACTCAACACGGTGCGTTGAGTAATTGCTTTATCTAGTGGTCGATCAACACCTCTACTTACTACTAGGGTATCTTTTACATGATCCCACCTGAGACCAAGAACATGCGACGATTGGTCTGGACTCTTACAAATATCCTTAACTGACGGGTTGGACTCACGGTTGTCCGGATTAAGAGCGGTTGTAACTTCGGGTACATTGCTAACAAACTTTGTCAGGTTAAACCCACCTAATTTGAGCATTGCGACTAAGTCTTTACTTAGGCTAAGAGCGTCAGCGGTATTTTCGAACGAGTCAAGATAGTCGTCCATGTAAAACTTCTGGACAATGGCTGAAGCGGCTTCGGGGTATTCAGCTTGATTATCAGAAGCAGTTTTTTGTAGCGCGAAATTCGCACAAGTTGGCGAATCACGAGCGCCAAAAATATGACGGGTGTATTGGTGAACCACCACACTTGAAGTGGGGTCCTCCCGCCACAAAAAACGGAGAGACGGTTGATCTCGCGCAAGTACTCCAACTTGTAAGAACATACCTTCTATGTCCGCTGAGACGGCGTACTTGTGTTGACGGAACCTCAACAGTACAAAAATAAGATTTTGAAGGAGATCCGGGCCAACCAAGAGAGATCTATTTAAGGAAGTGCCATGAAATTTGGATGCTCCATTGAGCACACGGCGCACCTTGCCGGGTTTGTTCGGGTTCAAAACCGGATGGTGTGGAAGATACCACTCACGTTCGGCTCGTGAGCTGGGATCGTGCGGGTTCACGGTTATGACATATCCTTTACTTATATCTTCTCTGATTGTTTCGGTATACTTCTCGCGAAGTAACGGATCTCTATCTAATCTTTTCTCTAACGACTTTAATTGGGCTAATGAAGAATAATAATTGTTAGGCAAGCTAACATCATTATCACTCCACAGCATCGGTACAGTGTAACGCTCACCATCGTGAACGGTTTCAGTTTTTAGGATCGACAAAGCACGCTTGTCTGCGGCGGAACGGGCATCTACTTGCTTGAACGCACCATACGACTCTAACTCATACCAAGTTTTGATTTGGTCGGTCAGAGAAGTATCGTCCGTAACGCAGTTAAAGGAAGAAGAATTTAAGGACGAACGATCAGGAGACGGACCACTAATGACCCAACCTATCGGAAGTCGGACGGCGCACGGTGAGTCAAGTTCATCTCCGAAGACATGTTCGAGGGGTCTTATCGCATGATAGAAGTCCTGTCCTATAACTATCTCAATCTCTTTGTAATTATACGCAGTCGTCTTTAACGGGGCTAGTTGCGGGTATTTGACTTGCAATTCGGAAACGTTTATAACATCGGGTCCTATATACATGTTGTGCTTAACGAAAGCGACAAACGAAAACGAAAATTCACTTTCATTGGGCTTTGCGGAAACTTTCAAGTGAACTCGTTGAGTTTTAGATACCTTGGCTGAGTTAAAACCATCGGTCGTAACATTTACGGGCGTG